GGGCCAATTGTATTTTAGAGGTACGACTTGGCCAACCTTCCCTATAGATACCTAGGCAACACACAATGCACGCCACGCGAATAACTTACGCTAACAACCCATTCGCATGTCGTTGCAAGCAACAAATTACCAACCAGCTCGTTGGTGTGCTAGACTTTAACATATTTTATACACTTTACATTTTACATCTTATACATTATGCATTCTAGTTTAGACGTCGGTCGTTAGACATTAAACATAACCTCACTATACACCTACCTCAATGTTTGTGTAGGCAACCACGAATGCAATTAACGAATGCGTTTTTTTATCGCGCGTTTACTAAATGCAGGCTATATTCCATCATCATCATCATCAGAGCTACGCATTACACACATTACACATTACATTTGAATTATAATAACACACATAGGTGAGAGATGGCGTTAGCTGTGCTTGGAACTATATAACATGCAATTACGCGTCAATAAATTAGCATATAAATGAAGCGCTTTGATAAATAATTTTGCGCATGGCGCAAGTTGAGTCTTTGAAGCAACAGAATATTAAAATGTGATTTATGCGTTTACATGATTACCATGGAAGAATAACAAACTGTAGTGACAAAGTCCAGATTAATATCTTGTTATGAGCTATTAAAATCTTCTAACGCATCAGGCGAGTTACAGCAGTGTAGTTGATTTTTAATTATTTATTCAAAAATGTGTGCGGTGTGCGGCATGGTTTCATAAATGCTATTTTAAACGGTCGTAAATCTATTATTAATATATTACCTACAGAGTATTATGTAAGTTCTATTGCAATTAGAGAGACAGGAGAAAAATTTATGAAATGTAAAAGTTGATATTTTAAAAGTTTTTTAGTGGATTATTATACCTTTGTCTTCTGAGGAGATGGTACTTTACTGGCAAGTTTGTATCTCTAATAGTTTCGGAGATATTTGATGGTAAAGTTTAAAAAAAAAAGATTTTTGATTTTTTGATATTTTTCTTACGGATTATTAAACCTTGACTCTCCGGGAAGATGGTACTCTACTGGCAACTTTGTATCTTAAATAGTTTTGAAGATATTTGATGGTAAAATTTTCAAAAAAATTAATTTTGGTTTTTTTGAAAATTTTCTTAGTGATTATTATACCTTGACTCTCCGAGAAGATGGTACTCTACTGGCAATTTTGAATCTTGAATAGTTTCGGAGATATTTGATGGTAAAGTTTTCAAAAAAATTGATTTTTGATTTTTTAAATTTTTTTATATTGATTTTTATACCTTTACTATCCTAGAAGATGGTAGGTACTCTAATAGCTACTTTGTATCTCAATTAGTTTCCGAGATATTTGAAGGTAAAGTTTTCAAAAAATTGATTTTGAACTTTTAGAAAAATTTTTTCTCAAAATAAATACTTTTGTTCAATTGGGAGCTAATTCTCTACTGGTACCTTTCCAAATCCATAACTTTCGGAGTAGTGACCTAGCCTACTTTAAAAGTTTGGAAATACCCTAAATGACTTTATAATCTTTGATCAAAAAAACCTATCGAAATTTCGTAAATAAGTAATTACCTCTACGCAGACTTGTTAGTAAGTACAATCAACGTGATTATAAATGATATCAACCGAAAAAAATCCGTTCTAGCTTTGCTCATCACACTGTCATAGAACTACGAGTATACACCTATAAGCTGCGCGCCCGAGTTCTTTTTTTCGGTAGGTGTTAGGCGGCTTGAAGATGATTACAGAGTAACCGCCGCGCGCCGATCTGTAATTCCACATTATACGCCATGTCCCTTCATTCTTCTTCTTCCCATTACTACAATAGCGGCATCCTTGTCGCTTCTTACAGTTTACCATCACATCACATCACATCACATTAACATTCATTCACATTGGTATTCTAATCTGGCGGTGAGTGTGTCCGAGTGTTTTTTGTGGGTAGGTGGTAGGAAGGTAGGAGGTAGGGGGATCCCATTTGTCTAGTTATGTCGTTATCTACTAACACCTAATGACAGGCTGGCCCCGGCCACTAATTGCGATATAACTAACCCGACGCGCACATCTGAAGCGCCGAGCGTTTGATGTGCGGCCGCCGAGGCGACCGAGGTGAGAACGGTGAATGAAGAGAAGGTGCGAGAGGACCACCCTTGGATCAATTCGACATTTATAACTTATGGTCTCACCTTATACCACCATGAAGTAAAACAGATAAAAATTGCAAATAGTAAATATTCTCATGATCCATCTTAATGAGTTAAGTAGGCTTAAAATTGAAAATTCAAATTTTTCAAAATTTTCTTTTTCTAATCTATAGTTTTACTCGCCCAGAAGACAATGTCCTACTGGCATCTCTCTACCATCAATATTTCCGGAGTTATAAGGCCCGAAAGTTTGATTCTTGAATTTAAAACTGAACAATTGATCAATTCTGATTATTCCATACTCGTACTTAAATGCATGTAGCCTTCCATCATCCTCACACCTTCACCTCCATCTCTATCACGGATGCCCCACCTTGTTCATCTCCTGGTAGTTAGTGGCATCGGCCGAAGATGAAAGGTGCCGATGATGCCGCGGCACAAAGCGGCCCGCCGACGAAACCTCACACGAAACAACACAAAAGAATTTAATAGATTTAAACTATTTAGGCTTGTCAGAACAACTCACCATTAGCCCCGACCTCGACCACAGAGGTGCCCAAAACATAACCAAAAAGAAAAAAACATTTTAAACCAAACCCTGCCGATGGGAAGAAGAAAAAAGAAAAAGAAAAAAAGATCATTTAAATGACATCTCAATTTCCCATCATCCTATCATAACACCCCAGACCCCAACCCTTAAATAAAAAAATATTCAGTTGACAGGCTACAAGTTGTCATAGTGATTATCGTGACATAATTAGACGTGTAAGTAAATTCCGCAATTATAATAATTATGCTGATGGTAATTTTAATTAATCTACCAATTAGTTTCATTATCCGGCACGCAGAGCACGCATTAACACTAATTCTCCGCAAATTGTCACGAGATGGCGTCACTTGATACTTTCGCGTGCATAATCTACGTTTTTCGTGTGCATCGCGTCGATAAATCACTAATCACTTAGTGTTGCACACATCTCCCACATCGATTCAACGTGCCGCTGTCATGTTAATACACGAGATTACAATTATACCGCGTGGACACTGAAAAACTGGTAATACCGGTAATATTTATTAAAATAAAATATGACTTGATTTGTTTTATGTGTATGGTAGAATGGCGGTCGGGTTTCATTAGCCGAGCAGGCCAAAGTGGAGGTTAGATTTATACGAGGCGGTCGGCGTGTGTGTCGGCGAAGATCAAAGCGATTTTAGGTGTGAGACCAATTGTTCGCCGTGACAAAACACTGCCAGGCAATTTACGCCGCGGTGCGCTGCCCATGCCCACACCGTTCAATATAATCTTATACCATTCTTATACTCCCTACCTTTTCTCCTTCTTCTTTGCTGCTTTGGTTCTTTGGTTCTTGTTCTTCGTGAGTAACACGAGCGTAAACTCAAAAAGAAAAATTTTTGTTTTTTATTTTAAAATATTTTTATTTTTATTTATTTAAATTCAAGTATTGTTTTTGTTTCTAATACTTACACATAGTAGATAAATCAGGTCATAGTGAATAATTGAAGATGTAAGGATTTTGAGAGTTTAAGATGTGACAGAGATGATGTTGTCTTTTACTCCGGCGGCGAACATCAGAGGAAATTGGTGAGCGCGCGTCGGAGACGAAAAAAAAAAAAAAGTTGAAGAATGCGTCGAACGCGTCGACTATTTAGTAACGACACCACTAAATACTTATTAAAATTCTTTGTACGTGCATAAACTTTATTTTTACTCACTACGTGCAAAAGTTTTCTTTTTTGAGCTTTCCACGTGACGCAAGGGTTGTTTTTTGTTTGTAATTAAGAAATTAACTTCACATTCTCATTTTTTCTTAGCGTGGAACATAAAATAACTTAATTGAAATCGTTATCTAATCTACTAACCAAATCTTAACTTAATTTGACGTATAAAATAATATATGCAACCAAACGAACAAATTTTGTACTTTTGGTTGCCTATATTATCTGACATGATAATATCTAACGTAATATCTAACTTGGCTTTATGATTTTCTTATTTTATTTGTTGTTAATAGAGTAATAATCATCTATGGACTTTTACGAGCGTTTTACTCTTCGAATGCACCAACATTAATCGCTATATTTGGTTATATGTAAATGATGTATTCACATTTTCGCTTATTACTCAATCGTTGCTGGACATAAAAGCTTGAACTAAAATCAGATTTTATCAGCAGTAAATTTCCTTTCTAATGATATCTCATTCAATGCTCTATGACTTTTAGTTGTTGAGTTACAGCCGCGCAAAGTTTCCTTTTGTTTTATGATCGAAGCACTTTAATTCGTGGCCGGGCACTTCCGCCGTCAGTCGGTTGGTCGAATTCGTGCCGGCGTCCGCCATTGCCGAAACACACATAAAACTTTCTGGAAACAATAAGTTTTACGCTCACGCCACCGCAACCAACATAACCTCAACCAGATCACTATCGAATTTCCCATACTAATAAAATAGCGCATGCGCCATCTTGGAACAACTGAAAACAAAGCGGGTGTAAAACGTTAAGACACACACAAGTTGTAAAAGTGTAATGAAAAGCATTGATGTGCTTTTGTTCGGAGCCGGCGAGCGCGCGAGTGAAAACAAAAGAACATTTTACGTTATTACACGCATCACATTAAAACATTAATATTGTAGAACATGAGTGAGGTGTAATTTTAATTTTAATGTGTTTTCATCGTTTTTTCCACGACTACCTTTATATACCCACCGGTAATTTAATTATCGCTTGCTGCTTCCTCACTTTTAATCTGCCGCAGGTGTCGGAAATGTACTAATTGCACGTAATCTTTCATTATGCGTCAAGTGAATACTGAACATTATTCACTCAAACAATAAAAACACAACAGGAATCATATTCAGATCGATTTATAATCATTATTATTCACATTTACACTAGAAATCGAAAATGAACATGTTTTGACAGCACAATCTTCAAGCAGGAATTATATTTTGAATTATTTATAATATTTATAGTTTATACACAGTTGTCACTTACTTATTGTTTAACGCTTATCGTCTAAGCTGGCTGAATTAAACAATAACGTACAAATATTGCAAAATACCCGTTGATTTTCGAAAAAACAAAAAAATAGATATAAATATGTTATAATGAATTTTTTTCTCATGCGTGTGTAAAGTGTGTGTGTATGTCTGGTTGCATAGGTTACAGTTTATAAGATTAATTACAACATTAACATTTATTACGCGCGCGAAACGTTCTAATTCACTAATTGCATTAAATACTTACAGTTAGATATTTACAAAATACACTCACACATACAGGGTGTTTCGAGCAGTGTTTTTTTGGTTTTGTTATGTACAAAATGATAACAATTACACACATTTCAAGTATTTGTTTGTTTTAAGTACGTAAATTTCATTTTATAATTTTTTTTTTTTTGTGGAGGAAACCGTTTCCCTTTGAGTTAAGGGAAATTTAGATCCGATACAATTTCCTCATCAACTCTAGCTATTTCTCGTGTGAGATTACTAGGTTCTTGGCGCAATCATCATCGGACATCAGGGCTTTTTCTTGAGAATGCCGAGATCTTGCACGTTTTCGAGGAAACTTTTGTGCGCGTTGATGATTTTCGAATTTTCCACGTCTTTTTTGAGCTCTTCCATGTCGCGTTTGAGCTTGGCGCGACGGTTCTGGAACCATGTTATCACTTGGGCGTTGGTGAGGCCCAGGCTGGAGGCGATTTCGTCGCGGTCGGCCGGGCTGAGATACTTTTGATAGAGGAAACGCTTTTCGAGCTCGAAGATTTGATGATTGGTGAACGCCGTGCGCGATTTTCGTTTTTTCTTCGGTTGCTGGCGGTTGTTGAAGAGGTTGAGGTGACTTTGACCATCTGAAAATTAAAAGAAATTGATTAGATATGCATTAATTAATTAATTAAAATTGGTTTTTATATTAAAAACATCAATTTTTCTATGAAATTTTTAGTTTTTTGTTTATAACTTTTTTAATTTTTATTTTTTTAAGAAAATTATTTTACAGAAAGTTGCGTAATTAAATTCTTCACTAACATCAATTAACATTTTTTGAATGAAATTAATTAAACTATGTTAATTAATTAAAAACATCAATTTTTCTATGAAATTTTTTACTTTTTCTTCCATAACTTTTTCAATTTTTATTTTTCTAACAAACCTATTTCACCAGCAGTTGCGTAATTAAATTCTGAATCTATATCAATCAAAATTTTTATTGTATTCCATAGCGTAAGCGAGTAATACGTAATTTTATGAACCCGAACGCGCAACTTTATCGAGGGTGTTCAGTGTTCAGTCGTTCACACTTGACGTTAGCGACGTTAGGCGTTAGTGGGCACATTAATACGTATTAAGGCGTTTGAGCAAACACACAAACATATTGTCGAATAGTCAGTCCTCCCTCGTGATTCGTAAATTTGTCGTCGTGACGAGGGGGAGTCCCTAATGCGGATAGATTGCAGCGACGACAAACGCCGGCTCAAGTGTCGCGCCCGGGGATTTTTATTAACTATTTCGGGGTTGGACGCCAAGATTTATTAGCTCCAGCGATTTTCCGCCGTGATTTTCATCATTTCTCAAATTACCCAACCCCTAACCCTCATATAAACTATAAACAAATACAAAAACTTAAAAATTAAAAAAATAAATTTTTATTATTTTGTATTTTAAGTTAAAATTTATTCTGTGTGAGAGTGGAAGAGTTTAGAGCGCTAACAATAACTCTCGTCGAGGGGTTGACACCCCGGGCGTAATAAATACGATCTGGTGTTACTGGCGGCGGCGACGCGCGCTATTTTCCAACCGATTTACTTCTGATGAGAAAATGAGCATTCCGCACGCGCGCCAGCGCGCGACAACCCGCTTTACTCGCTTGTAATGTCACCAGAGACATAAACCCCCTTGCAGCGCGGCAACCCTACAACCACCGCCCCTGACAAACACACAACCAACCGAATTCTCTCCGCTGCGCATAGAAATTGTTGGCTAAAACGACCGAAAATAACCTCAACTTACATTCACACCCAACAGACGTTCAAAAATAGCTGCAGCGCGAGTGTTAAAAGGATAATTTAATCATAACCATCATTTTACGTCTCGCATTCAACGTTTGATGCTACACATCAAAGCATACACACCAATATTTTATATGATAAATTAAACGCAGTTTATTTTCATAGCTGCGAAACCTCTGCTAACAAAAGAAAGGAAAAAAGTTGAAAACTGAAGAAAAACCACTTTCACACTTGAGCAACTTTATTGTCAATAGAATAGGATGTGGATGTTACACAACAGCTTCCGACCTGAGTTGTCGTTGTGTTTGCTTTTTATTATCCGAGGGTAGGCAACACAAAAGCCACCAGCGCGCATTGTGTTGCCTACGATTGTGATTTTAAGTTATAACTCCAAATGAAAACAATTTACGACCCTAGGAATAGATTTAGGGGTTGAGGGTTGGGGGATGGATATTATAATCGAATTACTACCGCCTGAGATGATAACCTAATTGAAAAACATCAATTAATGCCGTAGAGAGAAAAATTCGTTGTTAATTCGTTTAATTCCATTTTGGGCCACGCCTCTAGTGTGTGGAGAAAGAAATAAATTCAACCGGATACAAACAACACGTGGTGTAATAACTCTCCTCCAAGGTGGTATCGAAGACCCACCTCGGAGCATCCGAAATTCAGCGCTTTTTCGCGAAGCGTGAAGCAGCGTCCAATGGAAGCCGGCGCATTAAGTTATCCGTGAAGAAACTTGACCTGGTAGAGAAAGAGAATATGAATACCAGACTCGTTTGCGGCGAGGTTTGATTTGGTCTGGTGTCGGCATCGACAAAGGGATCTGTTAGTCACACCTGCCAGCAGCTCAACTAGCGTTACATGGTTAATACTCGTGTAAAATATAAAAATTTCAGAAAAATTTCCTCAAAAATTTTAAAAATCGTTTTTAAGCAAAACTATTATTCGGAAATTAAATAAATTAGTCGCACCATGTGTGGGTAGACATAATACACCCTAGAATATATTTTGGTGTAACCTGAGTGTTTGGGGTGGTTTATTGGGTGGAAAAACAAAAATTTTTGAAAAACATCGAAGCGCCTCTGATTTATTGATTCCACGTCCCCATGGAGTATTTAGATGGTGTTGACATGACTTTCCGTATTATACATCCCCTTGGGTTTTAGGTTAGGGTCTCAGATTCGGTAGTTGTTGCGTGTCGCCGCATTCGAATGTGTTTTCAATCGTCGCCGCAATAAAAACACACACACAGCGGATTCTTAATTGCGCTCTGCGCGCTGGAAAACGTTTCCACTTCTTTTGCTTTTTATTTGGGTATAAATCACGCGTCCCACAAACGTCGCATGGAAAAAAGACAACACGGAGTAGCACTGAGTAAAGGTAGATGTGGATATTCGTGGAATTTTAAACAACTTTTGTGTTCGCGCGTCGTTCACTTTTAGAATCATTTGATGATGATGAAGATTTTCTGTTTCAGCGCACGGATTATTTAATAACGTGTTAGAAGGCGACTTAATGACGGCGCGCGACGAGTGAAATATGCGCCGGGTACTAAACGATGAGTCTAACCTCACTTTGAGGCTAGCGTCGCGTAATACGCACGCCTATTAGAATTTCGAACCGAAAATAGTTAGATAGGTGCATGCAGGAGTGTGATACGAATTGTGCACGTGCTGTGAGATGTCTAATTTTAAAACTAATTAGTTGGATGTTAGCATTCAGTTGCGCGTGTGGCGTGCTTTTCAAAATTGACATATTTTTAAGCTTGTGTTTATTAAGTTGAGGCCCACCGTGAAATATCAAACAACAGGTTGGAGAAATTATACGCCGGTGGAATTGATTAAAGGCTCTGAGTGTTCGAAAATTACGTTTTAAGCGGTCTTTAGTGCGTTGATTCGGTGCAATTTCATCAAAAAATAAAAAAGGGACGAGAATTTCCGAAATTACCGGGGTTTTTTTGTTTTGGTTTTGAGCAACACCTGCGGATTTTATGTTTTTTAATGAATTGTTATAAATTATTTAAGTTATAGTGTATTAAAACATTGTTTTTGTGTTTTTGCGATTTTTAACAAAATTTTGACGATTTTTGTTTTATTTTTTAAATTATAAACAAAGTATGATAGTTTAACAAAATTTAAAAGATGTAACTTATAGATTTTGTTGTTATCTACGTTTTGGAGCAAAAATCAGTACCTTATCTTTATTAGTTTCGGAGTTATCACAAATTTAAATTCTACTTTAAGAAAATTTTCAATTTTTTTTCAAACTTCAATTGCACAAAAACTACAAAAGATACAAATTTTAGTTTTGGCACAATTATGCTCCATTAAATTTACTTTCAAATGACACTTGAATCAATATTTTACCATTTAAATTACTTAAGTTATCGCATCTCAAAATAACGGTTTTATAATTTTTCTATTTTTACTTAACTCAAAATCAAAATAAAAATAATTTTTAATAATATAAAAATAGAGTAATCATTTTAATTTACGTGAGAATAAATTTAATTTGTGAGAATCCTCGTAAATATTTCCAGTCTATAATTTGAAGACAATGGAGTTATCCAGACTTAAGCAAGTTGACTTGGCGACTAATTAAATGTGAACTTAACTTAAGTCTTAACTGTTGACAGTAGAAATAAAATAATATTGACGTCTAGACTCTATCTTTTGACTTGTCCCTCACCAGACCTTCAAATAGACGCGTAACAGTTAACTTGACTCAAGTTAAGTCACAAGACTCGAGTTTAATAGGAGCGTATATTTTCGGTTTATAATTGTTGCGGTCGTAAAGTGTGTTTGGCCTCTTTTAGAACGTTGTCAGTTGGTCATTGCCCATTATATTGTTCTCATTATATTACTAGACTACCTAATATGTTTTATGTGCGTTAGTGGTTCGACGGTAGCTCAAAAAAGTCGTAACTAGTTTTACGCCCTAATGTTCGTAATGCCCGTATTATTAAGTCATTTCGTGAGTTGACTTTTATCTAAATTAGACTAAAATAGTTGAAAATATAGAAAATTTATAAACTATTGACCGGCAGATGGCGTAAGTTGATATATGTGATTTTTTAATTCAATAAAGTGCTAAATTTTTTTATTTCTGTTTTGATTCATTATAACTCAAGTAATAAAAATCATAGGAAATTGATTCAAGTGCTATTTGAAAGAAAATTTAAAGAAGAATAAATTTGCCACAAATTAGTTTTTTATCTTTTGTAGTTTTTGTGCAATTGAAGTTTGAAAAAAAATTGAAAATTTTGTTAAAATAGAATTTAAATTTGTGATAACTCCGAAACTGATAATGGTATGATACTGATTTTTACTCCACAATGTAGATAATTGCAAAAACTATAAGATACATCTTTAAAATTTTGTTAAACTATTGCAGTTTGTTTATAATTTAAAAAATAAAGTCAAAATTCGTCCAAATTTTGTTAAAAATTTCCCATAATTAGAGTTTGAAGCAAAAAAATACAAATTTTCTTCAATTTTCATCCAAATTAGACTAAAAATAGCTAAAAATATTAAAAAAATATATAAACTATCGACCGTCAGATGGCGCAAGTTGATATAAGTAATTTTTTAGTTAAAAAAAGCGTTAAAATTTCAAAAGTTTTGTTTTGATGCGATATAACTCTAGTAATAAAAATCATGGAAAATTGATTCAAGTGCCATTTGAAAGAAAATTTAAAGAAGAATAAATGTGCCAAAAAGAAAATTTGTATCTTTTATAGTTTTCCCATAATTAAAGTTTGAAGCAAAAAAAAAATAAAAATTTTCTTCAATTTTCATCAAAACTAAACTAAAAATAGCAAAAAACATAAAAACCTC